GTGGGTTGCTGTGCTCAGCGTTGGGCGGGGGAGCCTGCTCATCAGCACTCCAACCAGAAAGGGTCAAACTCTGGTAACCGGTGATGGTTGTACCCAATGTGCAGCAGTACTGGGACCAGAGTGAATAGGGTGTGTATGGGGAGCATGAGTGGGTGTCCGGCGTGCTTTTTTGTAAGTCTTTGGTTGTATGTGTATGTGTGAGCATGAGGGAGGGAGTGTGTGACTGTTTTTGTGTATGACTGTATATGTCAGGTGGGGCCTTTGACTCCTCCCCTCTCCTGGGACTTCTTTTGATGATATAGATCTTCGTCTCCCCTCCCCCTGCCACACCTGGTGTGGGGTGTGGTGCCTTGGTCTGCCTGAGTGTTCGTGGCAACCGGGTCTGGGGGTTTAAGATTTTGGCATCTGCCAGATAGATCCCGGTGGCAGCCTGGTGGGGTCTGGGTCCCTGGGCTCTGCTGGGTCCCCGGCGGGGGTGGTCGCCCCTGGGTCCCGGGTCGCTGGGTCCCGGGCTCGGCCGGCTAGGGGGTGGGAGGCTGCGGGTGGGCCTGAGGGCTTGCCGCTGATATCTCCCGGGACTCTTCTGGCTGCTGGTTGTGGCCCCCCGGGGTGATCCTCTGTGCCTCTCGAGGGGGGCGGGGGCCTTTCTGGTTGCAGTCTCCTTGGGGTTCCTGTGTTCTGGGGCAGCGCCTGGATCTCTGGGACTTGGAGATCCCCCCGTCTCCTACACATCTTTGGGGGGCGGATCTGTGGTCCCTCACACTCTCTATTGGACGCTCCTATAGAGCTCCGGGAGTTGACGTCACTTCTCCCGGCATGCAACAGTTCAAATCGAAACGGCGCCATCTTGGCAGGTAGAAGCCGGCAGCTGGACTATTTGTTATTGTCAGAAAACTCAATCAGACGGGAAATATGGTAGATTCCTGTTGTGCCCCAGGATGCAGAACAGACGCGGACAACATAAGGGATGAGCCATCTACAGGATTCCCCAAGATCCGGAGCGCCGCAAACGTTGGATCATTGTAATAAAACGCGCTAGTGACCGGGCTAAAATGAAACTGTGGGATCCCGAGAGTAAAGGTTTTCGCTTATGCAGCGACCGCTTCATATCAGGTACTTAAACCAACATTTCCTCAACTGTATGGTATTTATTTTAAATGCTTTTATTACGATTCTTAGTGGGCTTCCTAAACTTATTTTGGCGTGGCTTTTTCTGTCTTATTACTCATAGCAACAAGTAAACATCACGTAAAATGTTTCCTCGTGAGTTCTGCGTGCTGCCGTTTACGTGTTTTATGATCACAGCAATTAACCGGCTAAGCTGTATTTCATTTTTAAGCAATGGTTGATCAATTGTCAGATCACACATAAAAAGCACTTTGGATTGCTGTTATCTGTCTCACCGAGACAGATCTCAGACAGATCCTGAGACGCTCCTGCCTGACATATTTATTTTATTCACGGAAAAAAATCTAACTAGTGATTTCTCTTGGCGTTCAGTTTATACATTCAAACAGCACAGCACTCTATTTAAACTACTTACGTGTAAATCTATGTTATTTGTCCATCCATTTTCATCCGCATATCCGGAGTCGGGTTGCGGGGGCAGTAGCGTTGAGAGGCCCAGACTTCCCTCTCCCCAGCCACCTGAGCCAACTCCTCCGGGTAAATCCCAAGGGGTTCCCCGGCCAGGTCCGGTAAGAAGTCCGCTCTGGCAGCTTCTGGCGTCGGAGCGGGCAGTAGCGTCGAGAGTCCCAGACTTCCCTCTCCCCAGCCACTTGGGCCAGCTCCTCCGGGGGAATCCCAAGGGGCTCCCCGGCCAGGTCCGGTAAGAAGTCCGCTCCGACAGCTTCTGGCGTTTTTAAAAAGTATCCCAGGGTCACGGTAAGGGTCGGAGATGTTTAGTCTATTTAATTTCTGACTATATGAAACGATTTCTTCGGTTTTAAAGTGTGAAGTAAACTCCGATGAAGTAAAATCCAAGCCGATCCCGTTCACGCTCATGTTTACATCCGTGTTTGTTTAGATTCTTTTACCTGCCAATATGGCGTCTACTAACTGAGAGTCACGTGGGGTCCGGAGCTCTATAGAGAAACCTTAAATAAACAAGCGCGTGTACACACACAAGTGTTCACATGGTGCTCTCAAAAGTATGGGCTTGGGCACATTCAACACTTGTTTTAAGACTATGGTGGGCACTTAATGCACTGTGATTTATTATCGTGTGACTGTTCAGTTAAACAATGTTGATTATATATTTCTTCATCAAGTTGACGCAGTGATAGCTTGATCTTGTTGTATTGTTGTTGTGTCCCATTTTTATTTATTTTTTGTTTTTTTTTCCTGTCTCTTTCTGCAGGTCTAGAAGCAGACTCTTGCTCATTATTGTTAATTTTTGTGGAACCCCCCCCCCCCATCCCCTTCCCCCCTCTCTCCCCACCTTTTGTCTTTTCCTTTCTCTTTCACCTCTGTCTCCGTGTCTGGTCGGAATTACAAAGCATTCAAAAACAATAACAATAAAGTTTTAAGTATCAGGCGTGACATTAAAAGCAGACGCTCTGATGCTCCACCTGAGAGTAAATCTGTAAGGCTTGTCACCAGCATTCAGACATCAATTCTGTTTGCTTCACAGCCAGACAGGACACGGGGGAAAAAATAAAAAAATAAACACCAATTTCTACTTGAGTAAGGTAACTAAGTATCTGTACTTCATTACTTGACACATTTGCAGTCAGTGAGGCAGAAATAATCTTAAATCAAATCCTTGTCCATGTTTGCTAATAGACTAGTTTTATTATTCAAACACACACTTTGACTGAAGCCAACATTCACTTTAAATCCACTTACAGGACTGTGAGACTTGATGGAAACACCTTTATGGAATGATGTGTTTGAATTCTCTCTGAGGCCACAGCTGATCTTTTCAGCTGATGCTGCAGTGAGTTTGAATTCTGCTTCTGAAAACAGTTGCATCGTCTTTGAGCTGGTGCAATGTCTTCCTAGACCTGATCAAGAACTTGTGATGCTTGGACTCGACCAGAGTTAGAAGTTAATGATGAACAAGTAAAAACAGCTGACTGAAGATGAAGACTATGTCCTGTTTTGTGACTTTCCCTGAGTAGTCCACTTCACTTCCACTCGTGTTGGGAACCGATTCCTCCACCTCCTGACAGAGTAAGTTCCTGTTGTGGTAACTTCATCCCCCTGAAGTCCCTCCTGTTTATTGATAAACTAACCCACTGGCATGGCGCTGGGTGGAATGACAACCACGTCAAGCTTAAAAAGTGAGGCACACAGACCCCACAGGAGGAGCCAGCAGTGCGTAATGAGGCTAAAGATGCTGATGGTGAGCAGCACTTCAGATCAAGTCTCTGGTTTTTCCAGCTTCAGCCCGGCCTCCTCTAACCCGAGGAGCCAGGAGGAGACGCCTCACTGTGTCATGTATCCCATAACTGTGTCTCCGATCCGGCGGCCTGAAGGGTGGTGAGCGCCCTAAAGTGACAGCGTGTGTTGTAGGTTCTCCCCTGACGCAAGGAAACCTTCAGTAGTAGTGTCTGGTGTCCCAAGGATGCATAGCAACGCAAATGTAGCCTATAAATATACCTCCATGTCCAGGCTATTTTAAACCAATCAGGTCAAACGGGAAACTTCAGCGTCTTTTAACTGATGAAAGTTCATGATGTGAAACGTCTTACCGTGCCCAGTTGATGGGGAGAACTTTTACGTGAATGACATTTAAAATATCCACCTGAAAGTTTGTGATTCAAAGTTTAACCTAAAAATAAAAAAACTGCTGCAATTTTAGCAGTCCTTGATATTTTATCAGCAAAAATTGCTTGATACATTTTAGTACTTTCTTATAAAGTGTTATATCAGAAACCTTACTCCTTGTACAAGTCATTTTATTACAAGTTTCTGTCATTAAATAATTGCTCGATTTTAAGTTACTCTGAAATAAAATGTCCTAAATATTTTTTTCAGTTTTTCAACAAGGATTTTTCAAATTCACAATGATTATTTTGAGCTAAAAGTGCTTTAAAAAGAAACCGTTAGTAACCAGATTTAAGTTTCAGTCATAAGTGGAGACAGGAGGCAAAAAAAATTACAACTATTTCATGAAGCTTCAAAATGTACAGCTGAGGCTAAGCATTTAGAAAATGGCACAAATAGGAATTGTCGCAGATTTGTGTCCGACTCCCCCGTCTGCGTCAGCAGAAATAAACATTCCCTTCTAATCAGAGCTTTATTTTTATATAATAACTCATCGTGTCGCTTTCATGAATTGCTCAAACATCAAACGTTAAATTGTTTCCACCATTATAGTCCTACAGATTTATATAAATTACATGGAAGTGGGAGAAAAGGTCACTAAGACAAGTGCGTAGCTTTGAAATTGAAGTTAAAAATATTGAGAAAAGGGTCATTATAATATCTATTGGCTACTTTAGCAACAGTGTTCATAGCAAGCATCTAAATAGATTTAATCCTTCACAATAAAGGTCTAAAACATACACATGTATGTCAAAAAACCCAATCCTCAAAATAAGGTTAATTCATATTTTTCTCTGATAAATCCCATAAATAAAACCTTTTTAGTAAACTATTTTATAGGCTTCCGGTGTTTTGATTAATTCTCAAGACTCTTATTGTGAAGGATTAAAGAAAGTTCTCAGATCCCCTGAGGGTGCTGTCATAGCAGAAGCCAGACTGGTTTCGATAAAAAGCCTCATTACTCATAGTTTACATCATAGAAAAATGAAATCAAGTTAATAATACAGCCAGATTCGCTTTTCCAGGCTATTCTTGAGGCGTTTTCCTACTTTTCTTTCCTCAACATTTCAAGTTAAATCTCAATGTGTTGGCGTTTGTCATTCTTTTTTCTCTAATAAAAATCTGAGAGGTAGTTTAAAGATGGGACATGCAAACGAGCAGGAAGATTTTACCCTCTGTTTAAATGTTTTACACAAATCTAGCACCGTTCTAAAACGTGAAGCCTTCTCTGGGGTAACAATGATTTTATTAAAACTCATAATGTCCTTTCATCAGTTATCACATGCAGCATTAAAATAAAACACATAATACATTCAATATTTTTGACATCACGGCCTTTAGACAGTCTTAAAGTTTTTATTTTATTAGTTAATAGCTGAAGTTTAATATCAAATGTTTAAGAAACAAGGTGCATGTAGAGAATTGGTTTTTAAGGTTAACTGTTCCATCTCTGGTGTGAGATCTCACGTACCGCTCGCCTGGACTCGGAACCGCTAAGATTAAATATGAGAGCTCATTAATGGCTATATGCAGGTTCAGGTCTAATAAATGAGATGTGAATAATGTTCCGGTCTCCTTCCTGTACCATTCTTCTTTCATAATCTACAATCAGAGCAGATTAATCAGAGACTTCCTCCACGCCACCGCCCTCAGAGCTGATTCAGCCTAATTGTGAAACATTCCTGCGGGCTGCATTCCATGCTCGCCAGATGCTCCGTGTCTGTTTGACAAATAAATCCCTGACCAAGTCTTCAAAGCTCTGAGTTCTGGGCTTTGAGAGTTTGTGGTCGGGGCTCTTACGGGTCTGAGTCACCAGTAAAAACATCCTTATCAGGTCCTTTACAAACTCGGGAAACCAGGATTTTTGTTCAAGCTAAAAGTTCAACTAAAAATGCTCCTCTGGTTGGCAACCAGGACGGTTTGGCTCTCCCGCCGCCTCTCCTTCTTCCTCTCCAGCCTCACCCTCCAGCAGACAATGCTGGAGGCCAAAAGCACCAGACCGGCTGACAGGAGAACCAGGCCAAAGTAAGAGATGGTGGACCCATGGGAGTTGAAGCTGTAAGCCACGGCAGTGACCACAATGCCTGCGATGAGGACCACCACACCAAATGGGACGGTGCAGCGATAGCAGGACAGCTCGGCCCCCCCTGTGGCTGCAGTCAGCTGGACTTCGTTGACCTGGGGGATGTTCACAACTGTCATGGCAGCTGCATGCTGCTCTGGGTTGTTGGTCTTCTCTGAGGTAGCTGGGGTTCTCATGGCATCCTGATTGGCTTCTTCTGGCATCGCTTAGTGTTAACCAGCCACAGATGGCCCCCTGTTGTTGACCCTTGCCCTCTATTCCCCTGTCAGGCCCTCCCAGTCTGTGGAGAAACACACCAACATTAAAGCAAGCAGTGAAAATGCAAAGAGATAAACTTTTGTTGCTCAACGCTGAAAGATGAAGAGACCACACAGCTGCGTTTAGTTAGAATTCAACACCACATTTCACAATTCCCCGTCTCCCTCTGACCACCACATGCTGCTTTAATAAACCTGCGTAACCTCTTTGCACAATTGGGGCCGCCTCTTAACCCAGTCAGAGGAGGATGACGCAGGCCCGCTCAGCCCAGCGCGAGCTGAGACATTCCCCGGAGAGCGTGGAACACAACTTCACAAACCGCTCTGAAATGGAAGAAGCTTTGAAATCACAAGCAATTTCACAACCACTTATTCTTCTTTCCTCACATCTGCTGAGCGGAAAGTTGCCATTCAAATGCTGAGTGACGACGAGGGAGAAGCGCACCAGGCACGTGTTGCAGCTGATGTTCAGATTACAAGAACGGACTTGTCGTTGTAGAAATGCTCCTCAGAGGTTTGGTTTGTGGAATCTGGTTATCTGAACTCAGGTCCCACCAGAAGGTGAAAATTAAATGTTCATTTGGACTCAGATCAGCTAGCATGTAGCCTTAAGGCTAATCTAAAGCCAGTATGTTACTGTGCGGTAAGTGTTGGAGGAACATTACAAACAGAGAGTCTCGCTCTCATGTCGCTGGAGAAACTTTGCAAGACAAGTTCTCTCTGTTTAGTTTCTGTGAAACACGTGAAGGCAAGGAATGAAAACCAACTTTGGGAGATGCTGGAGGAATTTTAGTACATATAATCAAAGTCAGAATGCTTATTTTCGTCATATATAAACAACAAGCATGTACAAAGTTATTTTTAGTGCAAAGAAAGCAATCAAACCATCTTCATAACATCTATTTTAATTTTTCTAACATTTTTACTAAAAACACGACTCAAAACACGCATGTGTAGACGTGTGTTTTTGTCTGGCATTGATACAAAATGGGGGTAAACTGTGGTAAATGTTACATAATTAAAGCCGTTATGGCAAGTCTGAAAACAAGCTAGGGTTCAAACACAAACACGGCCCCCAAACTCTCACCCTTCCTGTCGGGTATCTTCCCTGAGACGCTGCTGCCAGAACCGGAACCCACTTCGCCGGAGGAAACGAGATAGCGCTAAACACCAGTCATCGTTTTCTAGGTCCACTTCAAATTAGGGCTGGGCGATATGGACCAGAACTTATATCTCGATACCTTTTAGCTGAATTCAGATATATGATATGTATCTCGATATTTTTCCTCCTGTAAAATATTTACAAGTTAACTCACTTCAAGCTGTCCTGAGAAATTATAAACATAAATCAGTAAATTAAATGCATAAAAATGTATTGATTCTTGTCCAACTTTAACCTTAGTGCCAATTCTCTACCAGTCCGAGCTTTAGAAACACTGGTACAGCTGTCTGCTAACACACACACACACACACACACACACACACACACACACACACACACACACACACACACACACACACACACACACACACACACACACACTGTTGTGGAGTTTTCTCCTTTTTATGATAACATCTCCTTTGCGCTCTCTCCAGCTACGGTGGATCGTGTTACATTCAATGGTCCGACCATGGTTCGGGCTGGGGCGGTGAACAGGGTGCTGCATGAGTTGTCGGCAGATCCTGGTCTCAGGTTTCAACCAGTGTCTTACTCCTGGTCCTCCACTGATTCTGTCGTGTTATTCAATGCATGCCTAAACCTTTGTTTGTCTTTAGGGTTGTCGTTGCTCCTGTTCCGTCACGGTTGACCTCTCTAGGGGACTCGGTCCGCAACATCGGTGGCCGCCTATCTCGAGCTCTCGTACCGGTGGTTCGTGAAGCTCTGGCTGCCCAGGTGCCTCCACCTGCGCCGGCCGGTCCTGTACCTCCGCCTGCACCTCCTGCGTCTTCGGCTAGGCCTTCAACTTCAAAAGGGGGGTGATCTCTATTGTCCAGATTCGTCAGTCCCAGAGTTCCCTGTTTCAGGTTACACAAGTTTGTTTGTGTTTGTGTGAGTGTGCATGGTTGTATTTCCTGTCCATACATGACGTGCAGACTTGGGGTGACTTGGGATGGTTGTGATGTGGGTTCCTGGAGTCCTATAATGGTTAAGTCTTAACAGTTAAAGGGAGTATTCCACAAACTGTTGTGTTTATCCAAATTCCATTTTTTATTTTTATCTACTAATCTCTAATTCCTTGTGGGGTATATTCACATATAGGTTTGATTACTAACTTCACTGATTCACATTTTTAGTGTTTCTTCTTCTTTATATTACTAGTAATTATATTATTAATTCTTTTAAAGATATATTCACAGAAATACATTTCTGCATTATTTCATTACAGCTGATTTATTTTCGTCATCTCTATTATGATGCATTTTATTTAGATTTTTACCAGCTATGGGCTGCAGATTATTTTGCCCTTCTGTTTTGATAAACTTTTTGCTCAAAAGCATCAGTTTTCCCTTACATATATTATAGGGTTATGTTAATTTTGTTCTTTTTGCAAAACTTTTCCAGTACATGTAGTTTCCTGCATTCATTTCTTTCACCTGAACTCCGTTCACATAATCTTCTTCACAAAGCACATATAGGTACATAAAGTGCTAGGTTTTACTTTTGTTTGTTATTTTACATCAGATGCAATCTATGTGTGTCTACATTTAAGTGCCCTGCATGTGTGCTCTTCTCCTCTCCTGGGTTTCGCCTGTGGTCGTCACTTCCCGGGAGTACCTCTCTACACCATCGACTGATCCGGCTGCCTGCTGCCTGAGGGTACGGTTCGCCTGGGGCCTGGTCCGGACCCTGCTCATCTGCTTACTTCCTGAGGATTGTGATAAGTAGAATTACCCTTTTTGAGTTTGGGAGCTACATTGACTATTCTCTGGTGTGGGGGTTTGCTTTCCTCTCTCCTGAGGCCATTGCCTGGGAACTAACCTGTGCTTCCTCGACTGAGTCCCTAGGGCCTCTTGGATTGTTGAACGACCCGTGGCTTCTGCCAGGACCCCGTGCCCTTGAAAAGGGGGGTTATGTAATGTCCAGCAATGGTCAGTTTTTAGGTACAGTTTGACCATTCAACATCTATTCAACATCTGGTCAAAACGGAGACACGAGACTGCATGTGTTCCCTTTAAACTGACCTGCCTTCATCCCATCAGCTCAGAGCCTGCAGCTCTGAACACAGATAACGAAATGTCAACGATAACATTCTCTCCTCAAGGTCCAATCTCTCAGGTCTTCATGCCTCCATATAAGGAACACTCCAGCTTGGATCAGTTGCTAAACCAAGAATGATTTCCTAAATCAAATGTGAACTTCTACAACTTATAAGCTAGATAATCATTAAATAAACGTTTGTTTATTGCTACTTATAATAATTATAATATAATGAAATGCTTCATTAATCTGTGCTCAGTGATTGAAGTGTGAAATGAATGTTATGTTGTGATTATAGTGATTGAAATATGTTTCAGCATGTTAATATGACAAGGTCGTCACCATTTGCACTCACACAAGAACAAAGTAAGGTTAAGTTAAACTCTGACACATAGTCCTCTACCCAGATCAGAGCCTCCGTATCAAAGAAGGCGTGTTTCTGAGACTCTTGGTAATATTCCTCAAACTAGGGCTGCTCAATTAATCGAATTTTAATCATGATTACGATCTGAGTTTTGAACGACTATAAAAAACAAAACAAGCCGATTATTTGCTCCTCCCACTTGCGCTGCCCTGAGTTGCAAATGAAGCGCTCCTCCTAGGGTGTTGCCAACTTGGCGACTTTGACGCTATTTCTAACAGCTTTTCAGACCCCCTTCTTGACTTTTTAAATCTTAAAAGTACCTAGCGAACATCTCAGAAACATCTCTGGTAACCCTTAGCTACTTTCTGGAAAACTGTCGTCAACGTTTCCTGCAGGTTAGCTAAACACTCCGCCTGCGCTCCGGACCGTTCTTCAGGACATTAGGAAAGGGAATGATGTAGTGATGTGTCAGTCGCTAAAGAAACGGCTCTCGGAGCCGGCTCCCTGTTGGAGTAACCAGAGTGAGTGACACACACCGCACCTGCGGACTCCTGAGCCGATAAAAACGGCTAAATGTGTGCGTGCGGCGCGCTGAACATACGTGCAGCTTGCCCCGATTGCTGTGAGACCGGGTTGGGGGGTGGGGGTTGCAGCTGTGGTTGGGACATTTATTACATTAACTGGTGGACTTGTAAATAAATAGTTTATAAATAAGGTAGAAATAGACAGAAATAAGTTCCTCACGCTGATAACTAATAACTAATCTCTCTGAGGACACGGTGCTAGTGTGTTCTCCTACAGCACCTTGACACAACTTCAATAAATGTTATACAACATTTTGTGAACATCAATTTATTTGCGTTTATTTGTTATAAATGCCACTGTATAATTCTTGCTGTCAGTATTTGCAAGATATTGGTATTTAGGTCTGTACTGGTTAGACTTAAATGAGTTAAACCAAGGTCTATAGCCCTTGGGTCATAAACTATGAGCTATAAGTATATTGGTCTTTTTATACTGGGAATCAGGAGTTATTTTAGTGATCATCTTGTTTCTTATTTATTTTTGTCCTGATTGTGTCCTGAGCAATTTTATGACTGAATAAAAACAAATAAAATCAACATTAATAGAAAAATCGTCCTAAATAATCGTGATCTCAATTTCAGTCACCATAATCGTGATTATTATTTTTGCCATAATCGAGCAGCCCTACCTCAAACTTGTCAACCTCTGGTTGGCTACACAAATCATAACATGACAACATTAAAACTGGATCACTCTCGGGTGATCTCTCAGTTCTAGAAAAAGATTCAGACCGGCCACCTGAAGCAAAACCCTCTTTAACCCATCAAAGATTTTGACACGTCGCCAAAACCTTTTTGCACCTGCGAAGCTGATATCGCAAACAGTTTCTGCAGAATAAGCTGGTATTGTTCAGACTGTTTAAGAGTCCCCCAGATGTGCGGTTCCATCCATCTGTCGTGACCCGAGACATCTCTGGACTGGAGAAGTCGGGGCTGTGGTCAATCTACTGGACCTTCGGTGCCACAGGTCATCCGACCTCTCTGACCTTCGGATCCACCAAGAGGGTCTCCGAAAACGGGTGAAGTAGACACACAGATAGCGTCTGATGTGTTTTTGATTATAATCAACTTCATAGCTTAACGCAAACCAAATTCTTTTACTTCGAGAACTCTCCTAGATACGGAAGTTCTGACTAACATCGCATTCACACATAGGTTTCATACATCACATTTAGTTCCATCCGTCACAGTAAATGTTAGTTAACTTGTCATGTTTTAATTGTTGGTAAAATAAATTCTTACTTTTATAACCCTGACTCTTTTCTGAATCAAAACAAAGTGTTTACAATCCCCTAATAAATAAAGAATCCTAGAATCTTCTGATGAAACACCGTAAAGACCAAGCAGGGTTGCTATTCTATATGTAGATAGAGTATCACAGCTTATTGGTCATAAGTACAGGTAACATATATATTGAGCTCTTAAAGCACTCAATTTACCAAACCCTACAATATCAAATATTTATCATTTAAATGGATCTATTTACTGAACACTTTAAGAAATCTCAACTTTCTGACTGCTGGCTCTCATTTTGTCACCGTCTTCGTCGCGCTCTCCTCCCTCTCGCTCGCCCTTTTCCTCCTCCTCATTCCCTCTCGTCTCCCTCCACCCGCATGTACTTTGCTGTGTGTCTGAGTCTGGTCCTCCCTCTTCCCCGCCCCTACTGCTCTGTGTGTGGACAGTCTGGACACGCAGTTACACATGTTGACCAATCACCTGTAGCTTTCACCAAAGCAAGAGGGGGAGGGTGATGGCTCCCAATGACGAGCCAGCTCCTGTCGTTCACTTCATAGAGCCAACTCTTAGAACCGGTTCGTTCGCGACCGGCACATCACTAATTTGGAAACTCCAGCTATCCGTAGATGTTTCCCAATTACACAGGGGAGGGAGGGGTTTGGCTCCTCTCACTGGCTCCGCACATGCAGGATAGAAAAACAAAACTCTGTTGACCCCAAATAATTCAAAACCCAGACGTCAAATGCATAGTTTAGAGCAAGCACATTTACCTAGAGGCTCTCAGATTGAGCAAACTTGTGAGAAAACACATAATAACCGCTTAGACGGAGCAACATGTCGCTAGCATAGCGGCTAATCGCCAGCATAGCAGTTTGACCGGTTATAAAGACAAAAGGTCACCTTGTATCTTGTTAAAAAATTATATTGATATTTTAAAAATATCAATATATCGCCCAGCCCTACTTCAACTGGTGTTTGTTTTTTTTTGGACTCTGGTAGTTTGTCCTAATATGTGAGTGTGTGATGAGTGGAGAACCCAAGGAAGTGTGGAGGTTTAGCGAAGCAGACAACCAGATGGTCAGTAGCTGCTTTCAATCCGAAACGTGTTATTGGTGGAAGTTTTTCATTAATTTTTTTCATTTTTTTAATCTCGACTATATTTTTATAGCTATGTTATGTAATGTTAGGACATTGTTAAGAGGCATGAAACTAATTATTTAAGCTAATTCATTTTCCAAACTTGCCACTGCAGATTTAAGACACCTGAAGATGAACAGCAAAAGAGAATTTTCATTGCCATCGCAATTCCTTCACAATTACTTTGTCTGCTCGCTAAGTGACCTGGCCAGGTAGAAAACATGTAACAGAAGTGTCAGACATACCAATGCAGTTTGATGCCAAACTAAAGTGTGACCATTTTCGGTCTCCGATGAAAAATCACAGCTCAAGCTGCAGGATTTTCAGCTTTTGGCATAAGAAAATAAGAAAATAAGAGAGGACATGTTGATCTGTACAGACAGAAGGGGTCAGAGTAAATAAACTCCATGTTTGTGATGTTTTTTAAAACTTAAATATTTGGACTCAATGAGAAGAGGAACCTGATGGGGTGACTGTTTCATCAGAAAATGTGCCTGTCTGCAAGTCCTAAATGCAGGGTCATCAGTTCATTATTAGACCAGATAAAAATAGCTTGGAGTTGACTGGAGGGCAGAATTCTTGCAAAATAAATACGTAGTAGTGGGAACATATCTCATTGGTTTTTGTCTGACATTGTTCCAAAGTTGCAACCATGGCAGTAAACCCGAGCTACAGATCCTTTAAAGCAATTCAAAAGCGGGTATTAAAATAAGATTATATCATTGCTGAAGCTTTTTGCTGCAACTTTTATTTTAAAACCTCTGTATTTTATTCATCAGAACTATTTTGTGTCTTTGTGGGAAAAGTTGACCTTTTGTGTTTGGTTTACTTTGGTATGTCAAAAGAAATAAAATAAACCCATTAATCTTTCTGGGGTTTCCCTAATGATGAAAATCATAATAAACATGGAGAAATACATAAGGATATAAAAGTTGAATACAACAAAAGCAAGAAAAAAAATTAGGTTATTAATTATTCTTTTAAACTTTTAGTTGATCCACCATATTATTTTGCTTTTTCAGACATCACAAACACAAGTTTTCTGATTCTTTTCACTGAATTGTTTATTTTGATGTTTTTATTTAACTTGTTTCACTTGATCAACACTTGGAACCCTACTTAACAATGTTTACAAGTATATTTAGCTAAAACCAAAAATCACTTTTTTAAAGTCACTGTATGTTGTTATTTATTCATTTAGATGTAATAGATGAATAACCACTCAGGTGTTAATATAAAGATGAAAACGAAATACAATGCAACGGGATGAGCCTTTTGTTAGAAGAAATAATAACAAAAGTAAGAAAATGAGGCCAATTTTGATAAGTTCCTTTTGTCAAATAGCAGTTTTGAATTTTTTTGATTCATTTGTCATACTGAAAACTGCTTTTAAATGTCCTTTAGGTTTTACTTAATGTAATCGTTTGTTTATTTTTAATACCTTAATGAGCTAAAGCCGATCCGGCTCCGGCCGATCTGACAGTTTTTATTATTTGGTAACAGCTGACAGAGATCAGAAATCCTGTTTTACCTGACAGTGGCGCCCCACGCAGCATCCAGAGAAGCACGTTGCTGTCAGGTTTTCAGTCAGACTCTGTTACTTAAAGTCAAGTTGGTCTTTTAGCTGAAACGGACACCAAACTTTTTCTGGGTCCGGAATGGACTCGGAACCGCAGTATGGATCCGGCTGGAGCTCCGAGCCCTACTGCCATCCTCATCCACACAACAACCATATCAGGAACAAGTGTGCAACTGCAAACATCAAGGAAAGTGCAGGTTCCGGTCAAGGATTTCAAAATAAAACAACCATTCTATAAAACCGTGATTAAAATGTTAACGATACTTTTGACATAAATTATAATTATATTTATTTGAACAGTTAATCATTTAGTAACATCCGTTACAAATTTAATCAGCTGCCAGCAGATGTGCATGATCCACCTCACCTGGTCTGGAGAGGAGGGTGGAAGTGGACTGTTGCTGTCAGGTCCTGCAGATCATGTTTTTTTAAAGATAGTTAATGTTTGGGGGCATTTCGTATTGTGTGTTATATAATTTATATGTTATTTTATTATTATTTTTTTACGTTTATTGTTATAATTAAACGTTGCTGGCTGGGCACACACAAAACAACACAAACTGCAGCAGAGCTTCAGTCTTTAAGGCTTAAAGACTGAAGCTCTGCAAATTGGCCAGCTTAAGCTGTGGTGGAGAATTGGCCAATTTGCTTAAAGTTGCACATTAAACACACAGAAAAATGGAGGAATGTGTGTGGGATTTGACCTCTACAGGACTCTCATGTGTTGGGAGAAATAATGTTCAATGACACCCAGGAGATCCATGCAGAGGTTCCTGCAATTAGAAATTTTTACTCTAGTGATCTTCATTCACACATGGCATTTTGGAAAATAAATAGCTGGCAAAATCTTTTTGTAGTCTTTACGTTCTCCTTTCCAGGGCACGTTCCGCTTCATGTTCCGCTTTAGAAACAGAAGTTAAACCAGGAAGCTTTTCAACTGGATATATATATATATATATATATATATATATATATATATATATATATATATATATATATATATATATATATATATGTGTGTGTGTGTGTGTGTGTGTGTGTGTGTGTGTGTGTGTGTGTGTGTATATACACGTGTGTGTGTGTGTGTGTGTGTGTGTGTGTGTGTGTGTGTGTGTGTGTGTGTGTGTGTGTGTGTGTGTGTATGGTATATGTGGTTCGAACGGCCAATCACACGTTAGCAAGTATCAATAGATGAGCTTATGGACGGTTTTAATGGGAAACAGGCTTCAGCACAAGTGTTTTTTCCCCCTCTTGGTCCTAGTGCTTAACCAACTTTTGAGGCTTTTATTTTGACTCGCATCCAACCGGAAGTGGAGAGACTGACTTGACAGTCAGCTGGAGGAGAGCCGAGCCGTCATGTCGCTGCGGTTCACAGATGAGGAGTTCCAGAGCGCCTGGAGAGAGCTGGACGAGCCGCAGCTGGCCGGGGGATGGGAGCTCTTCACCGAGACCATGGGGGTCCAGATCTACCGGCTGTACGACAAGGTGGGTCAGCGGAACCGGACCGGTAAATGAGAGACTGGTATTGTTGGAAACGGTGGGATGTGGAAAGCCTACGGCGCACAATCCTACCGCCACACAGTCACTCATTTATGTGTAAAACAATAAAACATTTACCGGAATCCAGTCCAGGGTCACATCAGCAGGGAGGTCCTAGCGGCCTCTGGAGGGAAAACCCGGAAACCGAGCCGCAGTGAGCTGGTTCATTCATTCATAACCTGCTCAGCTGTCAAACCACGTTTCTGATACGTTTATACAGCTTTTACAGTTCATGGTGACATTACCACAAGTCAATGGGACAACAGGTCTATTAAAATAACGACATGGCATATATAAAAATGAGAAATACACAAAGTACAGCAACATCTGAGTGTTTAAACAGGCAGATGTAGTGGATTTAATGTTTTGCATATTGTGAAACAATAGCTGATCATGACATATAGCTATTACAGCACATTTATTGATAAATGTGGTTTTGCTGATTTAAAGTTGCTAAAACGACCTGCAGTAAAAGGTCCTGGTGGCATTTTAGTCTAGAGATCAGCTCATGATCGGAATTGGTCCGTTATCAGCAGCCAGTTTGAATCCCCCCGTAATCATTTTTCATCCCATTGGTGTTCTTTTCACTTCCTGGAGAAAAACAAATGTTACTGAACTCAGTTGAGCAGATCAGACTAGATGAACGACATTTCTTACTTTGACAGCCGAGCACTGAGACAAAAGTTTGACAACTGCAGATGACCTGAGCTGAAGCTGGGCTGGCAATATTAGCTGCATTCATCCCTAACGAGCCCCAAATCTCCACAAAACACTGAAAAGCACAACGAGCAATTGCCCACAAAAATATACAGAATAAGCTGTAATGAAAAAGAAATTGGAAACCTCGAGTTTGAATGCCAAGCTTGTCAGCATTTAGACACCTAAAGTATCATGTTTGTCAGTGTTCTGGTTAGAGGCACAGTGCCCCTGAAAGGCTGCTGGAGATAAAATATCTATAAAACACATGAAAACAGGCGTGTTTGTGATGTCATTGTGTTATCTCCATCAGATTATTAAATCACAGCTGAAAAGAAGTAGGAAGTAAACAAAAACATTCTAAAACATTTGTCTGTTAGGTAAAAACTTGATTTCATCTGCCCAGAAGTCACACTTTGCAGGATGAGTATTTGGAAGGCAACAGGGGCGTGTATTTGGCATTACATTAAGTTTCATGTTACCGGGGAGCTGATACGATATATTAGTCAGACGATATTTGGAATTTTTAAGCCCGAATTTAATAGGAAAACTCAGCTCAGACTCTTTCAAGACACATCCAGAGTTATCACGAGACCTCGTTATTCCGTCAGAATAAAGGTGGTAAAAAGTGCTGCCACCTAGCAGTCGGAATTTGAATTGCACCACAAAAAAGAAATACAGTAAATGTTGGCATTTAAAATGTAAAAAAAAAAAAGATACATGGCTGTCAAAAATCAGTTCAGCATCATGACATAATACGGTATCATGTTATTTCAGGGTATTGTTTTTATTTTTTTTTACGTCCCTGTAAGACAGGCGTAGGCAATCCTGGTCCTTGCATGTCACTATCCAGCATGTTGTTTCCCTGCGCCAGCACATTTTATTAATCAGTAGGTTATTAACAGACTTCTGCAGAGGTTGATAACCTGGTAAACAGATGATTCAGCTATTGAATTATGTGTGTTGGAGCAGGGAAACATTTAAAACATACTGGATTGCAGCACTCGAGGACCAGGATTACCTACCCCTGCTTAAAGACATGTAGCAAACAGCTATTCTTTCTTTCTTAAGTGAATGTTATTAAAACAATGCCAACACCACTAGACAGTGATCTCTATACTGGTAAAGAACCGAATCTCAGCTGAACCAGACCTTCTGGACTGGTTCCATTGTGGCCTGACTTGGGACGCAGGCTGGCTCCTAATCTCAGCCATCAGATTTGGGATTTGTTTTTCGGTTTAGCTGTAGCGGTGTATTTTTGAAAGTTATGTTCTGCTGTTTGCAGGAAACTGGTCTTTATGAGTACAAAGTGTTTGGTGGCCTTTCCAGCTGCACCCCAGAACTGTGTGCAGACGTCTACATGGACTTGATGTACCGGAAACACTGGGATGGATATGTGAAAGGTAAAATGGACCAGACCCAAACTCACAGCTGGTCTCAATGTAGACTGGTTACCCATCATTTCTAACTTGACTAAATGAAATCTTTTTCTTTTTTCATGCACATCTTCAGTAAGAAGCAGGTAACGAGTAGTCTGTAAAGTGTGTAGAGTAACACCATATACAGCTGTTGTTGGAGTTGCTAAGTGTTTCGTTACCTGTTATTATTTGTTTTAAAAGGTGTTTTTAATCCATTGGTTCAAAGTCAGAATTTAAAGAGGTTGTAACAGGTGTGTTTTTGGGATCATAACCCCCTCCCTTTTTAGCCAAGTGTGAAGCGGCTGGGATGTGAATCAACTCCTCTAAATCCGAGACCATAGTCTTGAATCGGAAAAGGATAGAGTGCTTTCTCCAGGTCAGGGATGAGGTCTTACCTCAAGTGGAGGAGTTTAAGTATCTCTGGGTCTTGTTCATGGGTGAGGGAAAACTGAAGCGTGAGATCGAGAGGCGGATTGATGCTGCATCCAGATGCAGGCATTGTACCAATCTGTTGTGGCGAAGAGAGAGCTGAGCCAGAAGGCAAATTTTTTAATTCATCGGTCGATCTACGTTCCTACCTTCACCTATGGTCACGAGCTTTGGGTAGTGACCGAAAAAAACGAGATTGTGGATACAAGTGGCCAGAATTATTTTTCTCCGCAAGGTGTCCAGGCTCTACCTTAGAGATATGGTGAGAAGCTCAGTCATTTGGGAGGGGCTCAGAGTAGACCTAACTATAAAACCTAACCCTGCTCCTCCACATGGAGAGGAGCCAGTTGAGGTGGCTCAGGCATCTAGGTAGGATGCCTCGTGGATGCCTCCCTGGTGAGATTTTCCGGGCACATCCAGCCATTAGGAGGCCTAAAGAAAGACTTGCCTTGGGATTCCCCCAGAGGAGATGGCCGTTACCTTAGGAGAGGGAAGTCTGGGCCTCTTTGCTCAGGATTCTGCCCCCATGACCCGACTCCAGATAAGGATCTGAAAATGGATGGATGGATGGATGGATGGATGGATGGAACCCCGTCCACAAAAAAAATCCAGTTCAATCCTTTGCTCCCTTTCCCAGCTGCAGCATCCAGATGTTCTAAATACTTTCCGAACATCTCATTATTCAGTCCGTTTGGATCAGAGTCTGGACTTTGTGGTGCCGCTCATCCTTTGTTCAATTCAATTCAATTCAAAGATACTTTATTAATCCCAGAGGGAAATTAGAGTTTCAGTACACACAATTCTGAGATCAGACATACACACATAGGCATAGACACATGACAATAATTGGTGACTGTGGTCATTCGCAACCTGAGTCGCGCTACCTTAATAGAGATCAGAAGGTATATATGAGGGTTGGGTCAGGTGGAGGAAAAAAAGGCACTTCAGAGTTACCCTCCACAGGGAGGGCAGCTTTGCTCTGCAAAAAACACCTCAGACAGAAATGCACACAGACATCAGACAGCATAAGTGTCCACTAGGTGGGGAGGTAGGGTAGAGGACTCTCCTCACATCAGTGCATGCAGCCACGATAAGCAGCGCTCGTCACCTCCGTCTGGACAGGGGAGGGAGGTAGTTGGGTTAGAGAGCACAGTGAGTCCTGCAAACGATTCAACGGCCTTCACCGGTCGCAGTCCCGCCCAGGCTGGGATAGGGAGACAGAGTTGCCATGGCGACGGCAGCATTCCACATTTCTTCTGAGGGGGAGTTATTGCTTCAGCCTCACAGGCTCAAGGGCACCAGATTCAGATAAGAACTTGTTTTGGGGCCAGACAGAGATAATTTACTCTCTGTCTTAAAGTTCAGTTGGTCCTCAACCCCTCTGAATCCAATAATGGAGTAAATTAATCTATTCCCAACCGTGCTGTCCCGTCCACTTTCTCCTTGATCGAATCCACCTTCTGTACCAGAGTCTGAATCTCAGCCAAAGTTACAAGCTTACGACCCATCTCAACAATTATATGAGTTTGTGCGTTCACAGCGCGGTGTAATCCATCCCTGAGCTCCGGGATTGAGCCAATATTCCTCGACAGCTTATTAATTTTCCAGTAAGCCAGGTAACCGCTCAGGTCAAACAGCAAAAAAACCTGACACCAACACCACGAATATCCAGACGTCTTCAGGGTCCTCTACAGACAGTTGGGAGAAGCAGATCAGGTTCCACCGTTTCCAGGAGTCCATGATATGCCCAGCTGGCTCTGTCCCAGAGGGAATGCAGGACCCACATCCTCCAGGTGGGGTTGTGTTCGGCAGCTTGTGACGTCGCTCCGTCTGACTGGAATATTCAGTCATTAGGACACACATGAAGACAGCTATAGGGAGACATCCATGGAAACTGAGCTCAGTGGTCCTTTTAGCCAGATGGTACCAGGTTGGATATAATCTGGAACCACAACTTTAAAACTAAATATAATCCCACACAGGCAGGTAAAAATAAGAAGCAGAATTCTTCAGGATGTATTCAGAATATCTGATGTCGGAACAACAAAGTTTAATTGGATTTTTAATCAAAAAGTTGTTGAACCAGCTGATGTTAAAATCTGACCTCCGTGTTAAAGTGTGTGAGTGTTTATTTTCTTTCTATACCACAAGACATAGTTCCACCAGAGATCAGACATTTACACACCTTTTAGAATCATATCGGTCAGTTTTCATCGGCTGTGGTTTTGGTTTTTTCAGAGCTCTATGAGAAAGACTTTGGTGGACAGACGGCGATCTACTGGGAAGTGAAATACCCGTTTCCTCTGTCCAACAGAGACGTATCCTTTAGCTCTCACATTTACCATTTTGGTTTTATTTTTTCTTGTTTTTATTCTCAGGATTATTTTTCCTTACAGTTCAAACTCCAGTATGTGTATGTGAGGGAGAGGAGAGACCTGGATGTGGATGGGAGGAAGATCTGGGTGATCCTGGCCAGAAGCTGCCCAGAGTTGCCATGTGCAGAGAAAAGTGGCGTTCTGCGGGTCAGAGACTACAAGCAGAGCTTTGCCCTGGAGAGTGATGGGGCTGCTGGGACTAAAGGTTAGATTTGCTTTAGCAAACCCAGATTGAGTGTCTCAGACCCTCATCAGCTAATTAACTCAAAACACCTTCAAATGTTTCCTGAGCCTTTAAGGTCCTGTCCCAATACTCCCACTCCCACTCTTGAACGCTCCCATCCAAGGTGTCCCAATTCTCAAATGTGGACCATAGCCCCGCCCCTTTTGCACAGTTGGTCCGCACTTCGTCGAAGCCTGCATTGGGTGAATAGAGTTGCCCATAATCCATTGCTGCGTAGGAATTTTGAGAAGAAGGTGAAATAGCTTGGGTGTGTACATATTGAGATATTGAATATTTTATGACTGTATATGATTACAATCAAATCTACCTCTTTTAGAAGGATGTATCACATGTCTTTTGTGATAGGAAACGTCAGGGATGCTACACAGTGGTGCTTGTCGATGGCAATGCTTACTGTCCCAATTCTGCAGTTATTTGTTCACTTGTTTACTACACACTCGTAGCCTTGCCCCAGCTTTCCATTGGATTTGTGAGCCGTGTGCAACATAATAGATGCGTTTAACCTGCAAGCTTCTTTCCCATCGGGAGGAGTTCAGGTGCAAACAGGTCCCATGAGATCATGAAATAACCGGAGATTTGCAAGACCAAGCGTGATTTCAGCAGGTTATATTAACAGGAGGCAGAAATATGGCAGCATGTACCTAAAAGAGAGTAATCATAAATCAGGTGGGTAGGAAAACAAGGGACAGGTGAGTCCAATAATGAGGGAACACAGGACAACGTGTCAGAGGGAGAAGCAGCAGATCCTGACAATAAGAGTATCGCTTTCTGAAATGACTTAAGAAAAATTAAAAAACTGTTTCACTATGTTCTAATTTTTGTAGACATGCCTATATTTTATGAATGAGTGAGTCTTTGTTTGATGTGTGTTTCAGTTTTCATGAACTACTTTGACAATCCTGGTGGGACCATCCCTACTTGGCTGGTAAACTGGGCAGCAAAGGTCAGTGTTCATGTTTCACCTGGAAAACAGCACTTTTATAATGAATGCAAACATTTCATTCATAAAACATCAAGAGCTCTAAAGTTAAAAGCACAGCAGCTGTTGGTGACAGATTCCTTCCACAGGGGAGTTTTCAAAATGTTTGTGAGGGTCACCGTTTCCAGTTGCTGGATTTTGAATATGTTTTAAAATATTTGTGACACATTTCTAAACTACTATAGAGTTCATACAGATGTCTGGGATAGTTCTCAGTTTAATTTTAGTTAGTATCTGCTACCTTTTGGTTCAATTTTTAAGAAACATGGGTGTCATTTTCACTGCTATGCAGATGATACCCAGGTATACGTGCCTTTTAAGAGGGGCCACAATCATGCCTTGCGGTCTCTTTTAGATTTTCTTGTTGAGGTTAGGCAATGGATGTTCTCTAAATTCCTTCTTTTTAAGGATAAAAAGACAGAGGTTGTATTTTTTGGTCCAAATTCTTTGTCTAGGGTGGGTGCAGTGGACCTCGGTCAGCTAGACCCATTCTTGAAACTGCGTGCGGCTTCTCTGGGTGTTGTTCTGGATGAGGATCTTGTCTTGGACAGGCAGATCAGTGTGGTGACTAAATCTAGTTTTTATCAATTAAGAAAGATCGCCAAAGGAAGGACCTTGCTGTCAAAAAGGATTTTGAAACAGTAATTCATGCTTTTATTACATCAAGGCTTGATTACTGTTAATTATTTGTACCTTGATGTTTCACAATCCCACCTCTGGCGTCTTCAGTGGTGCAGAATGCTGTTGGACGGCTGCTCACTGGGACGAAAAAGATGGAGCATGTTACTCCTGCCTTGGCCTCACTGCACTGGCTGTCTGTTTGTTTTAGAATCCAGTACAAGGCGCTTTTATGGGCTTTTAAATCTTTGCATGGCCTTGCGCCAGATTACCTCTTTTATCTACTGTTGTTTTTTACTCCCCTGCACGTTCGCTGAGGTCAGCTGATAGGATGCTCTTGGAAGCCCCAAAAACAAGACGTAAGCTCAGAGATGACGGGACTGTCTCTGTAGAGCTCCCTAGGCTCTGGAATGTGCTGCCTTTGAGCATTAGGTCGGCCTCTTCACTGTCTGGTTTTATATCTCTTTTGAAAACCTATTTTTATGATTTGGCTTTAAACGCAGCATGAGAGTCTTTTTAGTGTTCGTTCTTAAGCTTTAGTTTTCATGCATTCTTCTGTAGTGGATTGTTTTTAATGTATTTAAATTTTGTGAAGCACTTTGGTCGGTTTAATGCTGTTGTAAGGTGCTATATAAATAAAGCTGCCTTGCCTTGCCTAGTTTGGTGGTCAGAAAGTGGTAGAAATGTGAGGCAACGTTGGGGAAAAATTGCAAATAAGTTCAAACATAGTTAAGACACATTGTGCTTACAAATTGTAACCAGAAAATTAGCTTGACACTCAATTTTTTTATAGTTATCACATCCGACTAGATGGAAACCCTCTCCCAGAAATGTCTTATGTACCAACTCTAGCTGGTATCCAGCCAGTGGGATTCTGGGTATTGGATGATTATTTAGTGTACTATTGTAGAGGACATAATTCAACACAGTTCACATGTTTGTGTTTAATTATGTTATTCAATGTTATAATTAGTTTATGTGTTAGTGTTTAGTGGGGTTGTAAGTAGTGTGCCTTTCCCTATAAGAAACTGATGTTTAATCATTTATCCACAGCAGGTAAGATGTTTATTGTTCATATCCAGCTTTCGTGAAACATTTCAGTTTGGTTTCATTCTGTTCCCATTCTTCTGAAGAATAAACGTACCATCTATCATAACTTTTTTGTGTTGTGAAACCAAACCATGTGCCCATCCCAGACCTCGGAGATGTGTCCGGGTTCTCCACCAATCTGGATTTATCAGGCCCCGGGAGCTCCCTCCCTCTGCCTGCTTGATTCTTCTTCATAGTTTTTGTTTGCTGATGTGTTGCAGACTGACGTCAGCGACTCCCCTCCACACCGCCCCTCCTAAGGTGGGTCTTTTTGGCTCATCACTCATTTTCCTCTTTGTTTTTTAACAGAGCGGCGTCCCAGGTTTCCTAAAGGACATGCAGAAGGCCTGCAGCGGCTACAAGCACTACTACCAGCACAAGTGAAGTCATCTGATGGGAAAGTGTCCACCACTGGGCTGGGATTGGTTTTTATTGCTGTATTCTTTTGTTGTGGAGGGAATTTCAGGGTTGTGTGTGAATTTTTTTTTTTTTTTTGCAACTTCCTGTTTACTCAGGCATGATGTGCATGACCTCACGAAAAAGGCGGGTGTGAATTGAATGTATGAACCAGACCAAGCTGTCTCAGTGCGCACTCACGAGCTCCAGTTCCTCTGGGATTCAGCGGATTTGAATCTGAATGACCTGTTGTAGCACTGGAAATCATTATGTAAAATACCAGCGGTTTTACAGGTTTATTACTTATGCAAGATTAATTTTTTATCTCAGATGTTTTATTTTAGACTGAACATTACCTTTGACCTCTTTCTAAGGTGAATGGTTTGTTCAGTAATAAGTGGAATATTACTGTGTAATAAAGATGTCATTGTCAAGTCTTGGCTTAACTTGTGTTGAATCCCCACTTGAAAGGGATGGCAGAGTCTTTGCAGTTTTATATGACTGGGTTTTACTCAAGGACCACACAATTATTCCTTGTCATCTTCATTTTATTGTTTTGTAGAAGGCTTAGGATTGTGGTTGGTCTCGTGCAGGTAAAAACCTCAAAACAATTCAAACAAGAAACATGTAAATGCAAATGTTTACGACAAACCCATACTATACCTGTTACTAAATTCAATTTCCACAAACACTTAACTGAGAACCAACAAAATAGTACATCACTTCAAGATAATTGTTTTTTATTTTAACTATGTAAATATTCAAATGTTTTAATAATTCACGCAAAATTGAACAACCTTTAAATTCTCTAATTCATGCAGTGCAAATATCTTCAACATGTTTATTGGTTTTTTAAATTCAGAATCAGAAGTTTTTATTGCCATATGTGTGCCAAGTCACAACATTAGGAAATGGCTGCGGTATTTTGGTGCAGAAGGTAAGATAGAAAAAAATGAATTAAGAGATAAGCAAGTATAAGAACTAATAAAACACTCATGATAAAATTATTAATGTAAAAAGTTGCAAGAATTAGAGAAGCAGCTATCTACTCCGTGTAGGTATTCATCTGAGTGTTTGTTGAATGGTTCAAGAACAGCATCGGGTCACGTGACTGGGACCAATCAACTTGAGTGGGCTGCCCTAGGATTTTCATTCAAAAGTCCAACTGCGGCAGGGAAGATACGGTTTTTGGGGCGAGAGGTTCTGGTCCGAATGGATCTGAGCCTTCTGCCAGATGGGAGCGAGTCGAAGAGACTGTGTCCAGGGTGAGACGAGTCAGCTATTATCCGACCTGCACGCCTCAATGTCCTAGAGGTGTACAGATCTTGAATGGAGGGGAGTTTGCAGCCAATGACCTTCTCTGCAGAGCGTACGACACGCTGCAGCCTCTTCTTGTCCCTGGTGGTAGCTCCAGCGTACCACACGGTGATGGAGGAGGTGAGGGTGGACTCGATGATAGCGGTGTAGAACTGCCTCATCGACTGTGGTGATAAGTTGAATTTCTTCAACTGCCTCAGGAAGTACATCCTCTGCTGGGCCTTTTTTCTGATGGTGGTGACCATTAATCAATGGTCTTAAACTTTTAGCTCAATCCATCTAAATTTTATAAAAGCAGATGACAAAGTCTATCAAATGTTGCTAACAAAGTCTTAAAACACAGTGCTTTGCAGTGCAAACTATTGATGTCAAACAATATGGCCATGCCACATCACCATGCTAGTAGGCCGGTGGCTAAGCTACAGCCAACCAGAAAACAACTCCAGCAATAAAGTTTCTCTCTTACCAGCTGCCTTCCTGCTGCTTGAATCAGGACTCTGCCAGCTCCACACAGGCTTGCCACATAAGCAAAAAGTGCTTCACATGGGCCAAGGTTTGGTACCTGTGATTGTCTGACTACTGGCCGTCGGCTGGTGCATCACCTTTTATAGTCCTGATCCTACCACCGCCAAACACAGTTCCACCATAATTTTTTCCAACTAATTTACATTTAAGCAAACATTACATGTATATCATGTGTTTTAAATAGAAAACCCACAATTCTAATGAAATGGAGCCTTTGCTGACTGAACACAGTTTTTGGTTCTTGTTATTCAAGACCAGTATGGCTGTATTTACCACAAACCACTCAGAAAATAGAGGGAGAACATTTAAGAAGTTATTACAAGGCATCCAAATTAGATGTAATAAGTAAAAGGTTATTCTTAGAAAGAGGAAAAACATCTTGATATCACCAGCAGTTGTAAATAATAACAGTTAGCGTTTGAAGTCACTTAAGTCATAAATACCCAACAACCTGACTTGTTTTTCCAGTCTCAGCACACTCAGTTGTGACGACATGGCACGTCAGTTTTCTCATTGTGTCTTTTCCTGTCTCGGGTCTTAATGTACAACTCTTGCAAATACGTATACCTCAGGATTATTGTTATGACATTAATTAAATGACCACTGAATGAATGCAGGGGCTTATGACCAATTGCCAGCCACTATATTCCACTCACTTAACCCAACAGGACAGCAGCAGAGTTATTAGCAGAAGATGCTAACTCTGTGACGGCTAAGTATCTGGATGCTCCTCTGTCGATTGTTAGGTGACTTTAAAGGGACCTTACGGAGTTTTGAATTTTTATGCTCGCTATTGCCCCCTCAGGCAAAAGCGTAACAGCAGCTTCAATAGTAGGCTTGTGCACAAGGCGCACATGCTGTACGTGCACACTCATTAACGAAAATAACAGCTGAGACAGTCCCGTGTGTGTGTGTGTGTGTCCCGGAGGACAGAGGACAGGAGAATGCGCAGCTAATTAATTAAATAATTTGGTTCTGTACCTTTCTCTTCAGCACAGCCGACAAAGGTTTATGATGGGTCAGTCCTCCTGCATGCTCAGATCATTCCATTCCCTTGCTTGAAAAATTGTTCCAAAATGAAAGTTGAACCCACATCTTTTTTATCTGTGAATTCAATGCCGTTCGGTGAGTCTCAAATAAAAATGTGGGCATCTTACTGTAAAAATATACCATTAATGTAAAAAAGAAACTCTAAGTAAGCATCCAGAATCAAACCCGGGTCCTCTGCACAAAAGTCCGACATCTAACAAGGCGAGCTAAAGCGCCAACGACATCTTTTATATCTGTAACATTTATATCCCTAATAATAACTGAAACAATGTTCAAAGAACGGTTTGGAGGGCTATGCTTGAGCGTGAACACGCATGAAGCAGCCTGCTCGACCCGAGCATCTCTCTTTCTCTGTGATTTTACAGAAAAACAGGCAATCACAGTAAAAATGCCAGGGCTCATTCTACAGGACCAGGGCATTGCAGGAGAATGTATGAATTAGACATTTATTATTTCTATACATGTTTTGGCTGTCAAACTTCCATGATGCCCCCTTAACAACTGTAGACTGTACTGTGTCAACAGTGTGTGGACATTCCCACGTAGAAGCACAACATCCTGGATTTATGTTTGGGGAACATCCCACACATGTTCGGTGTTTAGCTACATCCCCATGCAGTTTAAAAGCCAAAAGACACAGTTCTTTGTAGTAAGCTGATTCGTAAGAATTGGCAGAGCCAAAGTTCCCATCACTAGTCCCCAATCTTACTTTCCATCTTCTGGGATTCATTCAGATTGGCACACATCCCCACAGCCTGGAAAGACTCCAAAATCATCCTGGTCCCCAAAAAAAACCTATCCATCTGAGTTGCATCACTGCAGACTGATTGCCCACACCTCCATCATGATGAAGACCATCCTTGCCCTTCTTAAAGACCATAACTGCCTCCCACCAGTCTGTCATCCATTTACCAAGTGGTGCTCTGACACTGCCCAGGAGCCGAAAGCAGACAAGGTTAAGGAGTTACTCATACACACCCAACCGCATTCCTAGCACCTGGCATCTCTTATCAGACACAATAAAACAGTTGAACATGTCAATGATGCCACATAACTTGGACTCACACTGGACTATAAACTTTGAGCAACATAAAAGTATTCACAAATGTTCCAAGCAGGACATCTAAATCCACCGTCAGCTCTGTGCCCTCTCTGTCACCCCAAAACGTCTCTTAGTGTTATACACCAGCTTTAGCCAACCCATCCTTCTGCTCCCCATGTTACTTCAATATGATGTCCATCACCAATAGAAAAAAAAAATCCAAAGGCATCACACTCATGGTCCAGACCTTCAGTAGTGACCCAAACCACCCCTCTATGGCCAGGTTTGACTGTTGCCCTGAGGCTGCAGATTCAGGACTCTGGGGTGGAAGTAGGGACGCTTCAGTAAAAGTTTTGTCCCTTTGGCCGTTGCTGCTCAAATTAATTTAAAAGGTAATCCTCCTCCACCACTTTCGTATGTGTTGTTCTATATGTGAATCAGTCCACATGGTTTGTGTTTATATGTTCTGACCGTGCACATGAAGAAGAGTTTCCTCCTGGGGATAATGTGATTTTTAACCGTTAAAAAGGTCCTTCACCATCACAGACTGAACACAGCTGGATGAAAAAGCAAATCTCTGAACTGAAGAGAACAACACAGCAATGCTCTTCTCACTGTCAAAGCTCCTCACAATGCTGTCGTGTTATGCGAGAAAAATACATTTTCTGAAATTGTTCTGTAAACTCCAGAGGTGATGCAATTTTTTCTTTAGAGTATGTCCACCGGATGAACAAGTACAACCAATATATCAGACTTTTACTGTACGTACTTTAAGATATAAACTGCCAAAAGGCCTCACAATACTATTTCAAATTCAAGAATTGTTTTCTCCCGACTCCTGAGAGGTGACAAGATATTGTCTTTAGATTATGCTAGAAGGTCACGTCTGCAAAAGCCAGAATAAATATTTTTAGTACAACAGACAGATAACTGAAGTGG